GCCAAGCAGCCACAGCGCCTGGTCCCAGTGGCCCGCCTGGGCGGCGGCGGCCAGGGCCAGCGGCGTCGACGTCGACTAGGGGAACAAAAAGTGACATAAATCATAAAAACTCGGAGGTCCGCGCGGATTTCTCGGATCGGCGCTGGGGCCCCCCGGCGGCGCCTCGGGCGCCGCCCCTGGCGCGCTCGCGCGCGCCCAGGGAGGTGGTTCCCCAGCGCCGATCCCGGGACAGGGAAATCCGCGGGGGGGCCCCCGGGAAAACCCTTTCCCCCCGAGTTTTTTATGATTTATGGCCACTTTTTGTTCCCCACTCGAAGGTGGGGGGGGGAGGGGAATGGAGGAGCCTCCCCCTGCCTCCCTCTCCCCCGCCTTCCCCCCGCCCCTCCCCTTCCCCTGCACCCCTCCTCCCCCCCTCTCCTCTCCCCGCCCCCTCCTCCTCCATGCCTTTTCCTCACCCCGTCGCATCCCGAAGCCAGTCGGAAAGGCGGCACGGGGGGTTCACCTGAAATGTCATCACCACCTCTACTCCTGAAACATAAAATTTCGAACGGTCTCACGGATGGATGGCGGGTCGACTTCAACATGTGGTTCGCGTTTTAGCGCCGCGCACAAATTTTCTAAAATGTTGTGAGAACTTCCTACGGATTGAAGATCAGTTGTTATCAAACTGTGGCTCCCGCCTTAGCGTTGCGCACAATCGTCTTAAACAATTGCAAGGTGTTCACGGATGGAGGGCGGGTCGTATTCAAAATGTGGCTCGCCTTGGAGTCGCACACGCTCGGTTTCCGAATGTGCAAAAGCTTCACGGATTGAGGGCGGCTCCTTTTTAACATACGGTTGTCGAGAGGGAGTTCTTCGACGCGGCCAAAAAGATGAGCCCAGAGGAGGTATTCGATGTGCTCCCAATGTCTTTCCCGATGACGCACAAGATCGAACGAAGGCTGCGACCTCATCGCGAGGTACCCAGTAGACCAATGGGAGAGGCACGGGAAGAAGGCCTGTACAGTGACAGTGCAGAGCTGGTGCGAACTAGCAAGGAAGATCACGAGGAACGACGAGGAGAACCTGCACAGAATAATGGAAGTCGCCATTCGTGAGCTGAAGAACGAGGACAACATGGACCCAGAGGAAGTGAAGAGGCTGACGGAGCGCCAGAAGCTCAAGGACAGCACCCAAGCCATGCTGCATGGTACCGAGATCTTCGCGGAGAAGTTCGGCTACCCCAAGTCGGAGGAGACAACGACGGCCAGCTGAAGCGGCCACCAGTGAGTGCACCCACTGGAGCCTGCAGATTGCCAAGAGAAAGCATTAACGAGGTTTCTCGGAGTGCTGATCTAGGCAAGTTGTGAGCTGGCCGTGCCGACAAGCAGCCAAGGGAAGCATTAACAATGTTTCTCGGAGTGCTGCTCAAGGCAGACTACGCGGGCACAACAGTACGCCTGCACCGTCATCGCAATTGGAAGTATGCTTTGGAGCACCTTCAGGTACACATCTGCAGGGTGGGAAGAAGAGTGATCATCGTGATGCCCACCTGGGTGCTCCTCATTGGCCCTACCTATGACGGTGACTTCCAGTATGCTCTACCTCACATACCCCGAGGGGGAAATGTTCTCCTTCACAGAAGAGGGTACAGAGACATCACATGGAACATCTCTCGGAACGACCGAGAAGTGAGCTGAATGGAAAAGGGGAGCACGGAATTCACAGTGTCGAAGTGGCAGCAGTCCACCCAGCAACAGCTTTGGGTCTCGGGCATTCCGTCTCTCCCCTCTCTCCTCCTTTTGAGGTCGTGTCGTCGTCTCTTCAGACCCCCTTGGCTTGGGCGCCCTGCTAAGCCTGCGCGTCCCCCTCCCCAAGGGCACGCGGAAGGGCCAGCATCTGCTCCCCCCGCACTGACCCGATGGGACTCGCGATGTAGGGTTGCGAGCCTCGCTCACGGGGCCACCTCGGAGCTCGGACCTTGAGCTTCGGGGCATGCCCCCTGCCGGCCCCAACCAAGCGCAGGGGATTCTGGCAAAAGCGCGTAGATCACCCGAGCAGGTGCTCTGACGTTACCCCCTCATGCGGATGTCCTGTCCTGTCCTGCCCTCCTTCTCCTCCTCCTCCTCCTCCTCCTCCCCCTCCTGGCAGTCGTCGACGTCTTTCGGGGTCGGCGGCACCAGCCGTCAGGCCTTCGCAACTTCATTATGTTGCTCTCACCTTCGCGCTTGTAGGGGGCCACATGCGAACCCTACCCCTACCTCCCACGATTTCTGAGGGGGAGGGGGGGGTTCACTTCGTCTGGGAGCTCCCGAGCGAAGTGAACCCCACCCTCCCCCTCAGAAATCGTGGGGGGTAGGGGTAGGGTTCGCATGTGGCCCCCTAGCTTGGCGCCGCGCGCGCGCGCCCGTGAAGTTCGCAGCGGCTCCACGGAGGAAAGGGGGGGGCAATGTTTTCAAACCGTGGCCCCCGCCGTGGCGCGGGGCGCACACGCGTCCGCAAGTGTTACCCCACAGGTGCACGGCCGGAGGGCGGCTCCTTCTGCAAGATGCTCTTTGTTCCTCCAGACACGATGTATTTCAGAACGTGCTGTGAGTCACCCTGATGACTTTCGGCGCACATTCCGAGATCCCTAGGGACACGCGCTCCTTCTGCAAGATGTGGCTCTTGTTTGGTACTTGTTCTGATGCGGGTGCTGGTCTGAAAATTGGGCACCCGCTGCACGGGTGGTAGACGGCATCGTTTTTTTTATAAAGGCGTGTCCTCTCGCTTGGAAGGTTACCACGTTCAAGTCCAGAAGCTCTTAGGTGCACGGGTAGAGCAGGTTCCTTCTCAGAACAGTTCTCTCGCTGGAGTCCTCCTTGGATGTGCGGATCCTACCTCGTCGCACCCCTCGAAGCGGGAAGGATGGGCGGGGGAATCCTTTGCAAAACAGGATCCTCGCCTGAATGGCAGGCCCATCGGGGATTCGTCCCTCACAGGGCGCCTCTGGCATCGAGAGGAATGCTGGTACGCATGGACTTGCGGGGGGGGGGGGGCACTGGGGACAGGAGGGAGTAGCGCAGCATCGTTGGTGCATCTTGGGCTTACTATGGTCCTCCTCCTGCTCCACGTCCTCGTCCTTGTCCTCCTCCTCCTCCTCCTCCTCCTCCTCCTCCTCCTCCTCCTCCCCCCTCCCCCTCCCCCTCCTCCTCCTCCTCCTCCTCCTCCTCCTCCTCCTCCTCCACCTCCTCTCCTCCTCCCTCTCTTCCTGCCACTGCCTGCTGTCACTCCTCCACACTCGCCTCCACTAGACGCTGACGCTGTGGACGGTTCTGCCGCCTCCACTTCCTCCCCGTCCTCGACGCGTGGGCCGGCAGATGGAAGAGATAAGAGAGGCGGATGAGGGGAAGGAGGGAGGGCGACGAGAGAGAGGAGGTGAATGGGAGCACGAGGGAGCACGAGGAGTACAAGGAGGATAAAGAGGAGAAGACGGAGGAGCAGCAGCCTGCTCGCAGGCCCTCGCAGCAGCGCTGCAGCTGACGAGCGTTGGCTCCACCGACGACCGCCACAGCTCGCCGAACAGCCCCAGCGTCAGCTGCCACTGCAGGCCCGCCTCGCACGCGGCCATCGCCGTGCCGAGGCTGACAGGCCCCGCGTCGAACGACGCGTGCCTGTGAAGGGGCCCTGGGACACACAAATAAATACACACAAGTAACAGGATTCCCCATAGTTTCCCATACTTTCTGGGTTTTTGTCTTCCCCCCCACTTCCCATATTTTCCGATATTTTCCTGGGAGTCGACGATTCATTGTCTGCGTGTTTCTTTCCATCCTGTGCCTGCCCCTCCCCCGTCCAGGGGGGGTCAAACGAGCTCCCCGCCGATGGGGCTGCGCCCAGCGTTTGGTCTTCAGGCCAGACAACCTCTGACCTCCCCCCACCTCTGCTTCGCCTGTGTGGGCGTCCGATCCTCCGCCGCCTCCTCTGCCTCATCCTCCTCTCCTCCTCCTCCTCCTCCTCCGCCTCCTCCTCCTCCTCTTCCCTCCCCCTCCTCCTCTTCCTCCCCCTCCTCCTCCTCCTCCTCCTCCTGCCCTCCTCCGCCTGACACGCCGAAGCACTGATGGCAATGGTGTTCGTCGAATGCTGCCGCTTACCCCCGAGAGGCCTGGCCGGTCCCCGTCTGGGGGGGGGAGGACAGCATAGAAAATGTATGGACCGATGTCCAGCAGGTCAGAGGGGAGGAAGAAGAGGAGGAGCATCACATCCACAGAATCGTGACCTCGGGAGGAAAGGAAGAGGAGGTAGGGGTTGCTGCAGCGAGACTGTGGCGCCGCGGCCGTGAAAATGTGGGGTGGCGGCGACGACGACGACGACGGCGACGGCGACGGCGACGGCGCCGGCGACAACGACGACTGCGACGACGACGACGACGATGACGCATCGCGGATACCCCATGGGGGCAAATTGGAGGGGGCACTGCGCACGCCTGCTTGAGTCGACGGCAAAGACGACGAAGACGAAGACGACGACGACGACGACGGCGACGACGATGACGACGACGACAAGACAAGACAAGACAAGAGCCCATGGAGTCCTCTGAAGTTAGTCCCGCACGTGAAACTACAGAACTCTGGGCAGGCAGCTACACCGCCAACTGCTGAAAGTTCCGCAGCGCAGAGACAGCCACTCTCTGCTCAGGGCAGCACTGGCCCTGGCTGTGGGTCCCCCCAAGGCACGCAGCCTCGGATTGGAATCCCAGCTCTTAGGCGCCAGGTCGTCCATCTCTCCCCGGCCCCGACCTCCCCCGACTCCCGCCCCGACCTCTTCCTCTATATGGATTCTGCCGCGGAAGCATCTTAATTGGTATGGAGGGCGAATCAGCAGCGTAACCCTGCGCGACGGTGCTAGTCGCATCACTGATCATGCTTTGTGAAATCACCCCTCTCTCAAGCAAACTGGCGAGCCGTTCGCTCTGCGCGAGCGATCTAAGCAAGGTGTCTCAAAAGAACGGCTTACTGTGGCGCTACTGCTGGCATCAACGCTCAGGATGCTCCGTCCAGCATGCGCGACACCTCGCGTTCTTGCGGGCCCCACGGCTGCGGGCCGCCCACGTACTCCCCGCCCTCTGCTTCGATAGCCACCGGCAAGGTCTCGAAAAGCCCCACTCCCACCGTGTTGTGTCGATCTCTGTTCAGGTACAGCGTCGCCATCTGATCCGCCTGCTCTTTCTTCTTCTGCTCGCGGCAGTGCTTCACAGTGCGACTGAGGTGCTGCATCGAAAGCTCGCTCACCACATTGTTGAACCGCTCCACGGTGTCGCCCACCGCCGAGGCCACGCCCTTCTCGAGCGAGCCCTTCTCCTTCGCCGCGCTGTGCACGATCAGCGCCATGAAGACGTGGAGGTGAGGAGCCCCGCGACCACGGAAGTCTGGAGTCGTTCCCGACTCGGCTTCCTTCTGCATCTCCTTGCTGCGCGCGCCATCGCCTGCACGACTCCTGCCGCTACTGGGACGAACCACTTGCTGAAGACGCAGGCGCCGAGGTCTGCCTCTTCGCGTGCCGTGATCAGCAACAGTTTGGCGCACGCCCCCTGTAAGCCCTTGTGCCCCGTGCGCGTTTCCTTGGCCGCGCCGCCGCCCTTCTTGCCGCCGCCCCCCGTGCCCTTGCCCTCCCCCTCGTCGGCCTGGCGTTTCGCCGCCGCCTGGCTGTGCCAATAGGGGAGCTGCAGCGCGCTGCCCGACATCACCTCCTGCGGTCGCCTGCTCTCGCACTCGCCGAACGGAAATCTTCCAGGGGAGATGTTCTCGGAGGTGCGCGCGCAACTCCGAAAGTCTTGCGCCGAAGAATCGCAACGCGGATAATCTAAACAGCCAAGAGGAGCTTGTTTTTGTTATTGGGGGGGGGGGGGGGGTAACGCCCGTTACGGGGGGGGGAGGGGGGTCCGGCCCCAAGCTGGGGGTAACGGTAACGCGCGGCGGGGCCCTCGCACGGGCCCTGGTACTTATTACCAGCACAACTGTCGGCACGGTAGGCTTCGTCGTCGTCGTCGTCGTCGCCGCTGTCGTCGTCGTCGAAGCCGACCGTGCCTGTGCACACTGCACAGGCTCTGTACACCGCGATGCCTTTGTACACCAAAACTGCGGCAAGCATGGTATGTGTGTGCACCACGGCGACTAAGCACATCATGACAGGCGGGTGCACCGCAGCGCCCTTGTACATCTCACTGTTGGTGCACACCACGGCGCCCGCGTGCACCACAGCTGCTGTTTCAACGCCCCGTGTTTGCACCAGAATGCCAGCGTACACCGCAAATCTTGTGTGCACCTGTAAGGTACCGGCGGAACGAAAGTCCAGAAGATCGCTCGGGGCCCAACCGTGGCCTTTTCATTATGTGAGCTGCTTGTGGATCTTAGTTTTTCTGGTTCAAAAAGCGCTCGGACCTGTTGAGCCCACAGCGCCTGTGTACTCCACTGTGACTGCGTACATCATGGGAGTGTGAACCGTGGCGCCTGTGTATACCAGATGGCACGTGTGCACCACAAAGCTTGTGTACATTTGTTTGTGCGGAGTGTAAACCACGCGCCGTGGGGTCGCGCGGGGCGGCGGCAGCCTAGGGAATACAGGAAGCAGGAACTCCCTGCACAGGCACAAGGCCCTTGAGACATGGGTCGACGGCTGGAGCGTGCACGCGGGTGCGTCGTCGTCGTCGCCGTCAGCGACGGCGACCAGGGAGGCGGCGGCGGCGGCGGCGGCGACACGGGCGGCGGCGACGGCGACCACGACGACGACGACGACGACGGCGGCGGCGACGGCGACGACGCCGACGGCGGCAAGCGGCGGCGGCGGCGGTGAAGGTGACCGCCGCCGCCGTCACCGCCGTCGTCTTCGCCGCCAATGCCGCCGTCGCCGTCGCCGCCGCCGCTGCCGTGTCCGCAGCCAGTTGCCGAAAGCTTCAGCAGCGCTTGGGGCCCACTTGCTGGATACACATGCGGGGGGCTGGCGTGACCAGCCGCGCCAGGTAGGAGGGCCGAGCGCTGGAAGGACATGCGGCCACATCCGCGTGCAGGTTTCGCCCAGTCCAGCCCCTTTGCACCAGCACAGGGAGAATGGAGGGAGGACAGTGGTAGTAGTCATAATAATATTGCGAGAGTGCGCCGGCTGGTTGCGCCATGGCTTGCCCGATGCGTTACACCACACGTTGTGATTGCGTACAATTACCTGCGCCATAGGTTGAGCCGCAAGGTGCGCCATAGGATGCGCCCCCAGGTCGTGCCATAGCTTGCGCCATAGGTTGCGCACCCACGGCGCCCCACACATCGCGCCTTACGTTGCGCCCTAGGTTGCGCCCTCAGGGCGTGCCATAGGTTGCGTCGACGGTTGCGCCACAGGTTGCGCCAAAGGCGGGGCCAATTTGTGGCGCTGCGTTTCAACGGAACTCCTGGTGCGCGCACTGTTCGGGGAAACGCCGTGCTGGCAGGCGGGCGTCGGGACTCCGGGTGCAGCCCGCAGGATAATGACAACGGACGCGGCAGGGATGACGACGACCATTCTGTGGCACCTGTGGCGCGCCACACCGCCGGAGGGAATGCAGGAGAGGAAGTGGAGGGTACGTGAAAGGAGGATCGGAGAAGGATGATCGGAGGAGGACGCTCGGAGGGACCACAGGAAGATGATCCCCCTCCTCCTCCGATCCCCCTCCGATCCTCCATCCTCCTCCTCCTCCTCCTCCTCCTCTTCTGCCCCCTCCTCCTCCTCATGCCCCTCCTCCGATCCCCCATCACCTCCTCCTCCGATCCTGTTCCAACCCTCCTCGTCCTCCTCGTCCTCCTCATCCTTCTCCTCCTCGTCCTCCCTCTGCCTCGCTCCCCCATCCCCCCAAGAGGTGAGAGGAGGTGGAGGGCACGAGCGCTGGAGGGAACGCAGAAGCAAGGCAAAGGAGGCGGAGGGGCCAGGCCGGAACCCGTTGAAAGGTTCGCGCCGAAGGATGCGAACCTCGAACCTCGAGGATCGAGGCATCCTGGCCCTCGAGGGCCTTCGTCGTCGCCGCGGCTGGACGCGGCTCGGGGAACTGCTGCGTCTGAGCCCCAGTCGGGCCCCGTGGACCCAGTTTGAGTTTGCGCCGGGGTTCGAACCTCGAACCTCGAACCTCGAACCTGATCACACATGTGAGCGTCACAGCATGCCTGCCTGGACAGAGGAGGGGTCCGCACCCCCGTCCCCGTACGCCCGTTACCGTTGCGGGGGGGGGGGGGGGCGTAACCGGCGTTACAGGTCCGAGCAATAAAAAGACAAGCTCGAGGCAATTCGGGAACCAGGGCAGGCGGGCCATTCGTGAAACAGTGTTTCCGCTTGAGAGATCCCTGCAAATGTCGACATGCATTCTCGCGGGTCGAAAAACATCGAGAACGGCAAATGCAAGCAGTAGTCCTCGTTAAATACGAGGCGAGTTTTCGAACAAAATGGGCGAAACGTAACTGATTCAGGAGGCCTTCCTTCGTAGGGCAATTACATCCACATGAGACCCCCCCCAGAACTCACCCAACACTCAAAGCCCCCCACCACCTTGATCTGGGGGGCAGGAGCGGAGGGAGGAGGAGCGCCCGCAGCAGCAGAAGCAAGCGCGGGAGAGGGAAGAAGGGGGGGGCCCAGACCAAGGGGGGGGGATCCGAGCCGCAAATCCCACCAGCCCTTTGGGCGTGAGTGGTTTAGCGAGCTCTCTCTGTTCTCAACCCCCCAACCCCCCTTCTTCCCCTTCGGGGAGGGGTTTACCCCTCCCCCTACCCCCTCCCCCTGGGCCTGGACAGGGAGTTCCGCGGGTCGTCAGGGGGGTCTTTTTCGACGCCTGGGAGGGCCAAAAAACGACGACCCTCACGAGGATTCTGGCCCCGACGGGGGGGCACTCTTGTAGCCCCCTCCTCTTCTGTGAAGCCAAAATCATTGTTTTTACGAGGGTTTTGGCCCAATTTTGGCCTCCCGAGGGGGCCGCGCTCATCTTCCTTCATAGCAAAATCATTGATTTTACGAGGGTTTTGGGCTCATTTGGTATTTCTCAGGGGGCACCGCTTCGTGGCGCTTCTGAGGAGGTCGCAAGAGGCCCCAAGATGGCCCCAAGAGGCCCCCAGGAGCCTCCCAAGAGGCCTCCAAGAGGTCCCCAAGAGGCCCCCAAGAGGCCCCCAGAGGCCCCCAAGAGGCCCCCAAGAGGCCCTCAAGAGGCCCCCAGAGGCCCCAGGAGGCCCCCAAGAGGCCTCCAAGAGGCCCCCAAGAGGCCCCCAAGAGGCCCCACGAGGCTCCAAGAGGCCGCCAAGAGGCCCCCCGAGGAGCCCGAACGACTCACACCAGGACGAGGGGCTCGAACGACTCATACCACGAAGAACCCGAACGACTCACGCCAGAAGGAGGACCCCGAACGACTCCTACCAGGACGAGGCGCCGACCCATTCACACCACGAGGAGCCCGAGCGACTCACACCACGACGCGCGCCTCGAACGACTCACACCACGAGGAGCCCGAACGAGTCACACCAGGAGGAGGGGCAGCGCTCATACAAGCCCCCCAAGAGGGCCCCCAGAGGTCCACCATATGGCCCCAAGAGGTCCCCAGATGGCCCACAAGAGATCCCCAGGAGGCACCACGACGCCTCCAGGAGGTTCCACAGATACCCCCAAGAGGTCCCCAAGATGCGCCAAGAGGCGCCGAAGACGCCCCAAGAGGCCTCCGAGCAGCTTCCAAAAGACATCTACTACTACCCTTTCCCCTACGATTACTACTACTTGTACTACTACTACTACTACTACTACTACTACTACTACTACTACTACTACTACTACTACTACTACTACTACTACTACTACTACTACTACTACTACTACTACTACTACTACTACTACTACTACTACTACTACTACTACTACTACTACTACTACTACTACTACTACTACTACTACTACTACTACTACTACTACTACTACTACTACTACTACTACTACTACTACTACTACTACTACTACTACTACTACTACTGTACTACTACTACTACTACTACTACTACTACTACTACTACTACTACTGACTACTACTACTACTACTACTACTACTACTACTACTACTACTACTACTACTACTACTACTACTACTACTACTACTACTACTACTACTACTACTACTACTACTACTACTACTACTACTACTACTACTACTTTACTACTACTACTACTACTACTACTACTACTACTACTACTACTACTACTACTACTACTACTACTACTACTACTACTACTACTACTACTACTACTACTACTACTACTACTACTACTACTACTACTACTACTACTACTACTACTACTACTACTACTACTACTACTACTACTACTACTACTACTACTACTACTACTACTACTACTACTACTACTACTACTACTACTACTACTACTACTGCTACTACCACTACCAGTACTACAACTGATCCTACTGGTACTACTTCTACTACTACGACTAGGAGCCGAAGAGGAGGAAGAGGAGGAGGGAGAGAAGGCGATGGGAGGCAAGACAGAAGGCGGTCGTTCACCAGTCTTACACGTAACCGACTCTGTCGACTCACACGACGGCGACGTCCTGGACCAGAATGCATGTGGTGTGCGTCGTTGGGGCCCCTCGCCCTGGTGTGAGTCGTTCGGGCTCTTCCTTGTGTGAGTCGTTCGGGCCCCTCGCCGAACGACTCACACATCGAGGAGGGGCCCGAACGA